GAGTACCTGCCCATTAATCTCTTCCCACCAGTCTTCAAGGTGGGCTACACTGGTAGGCACATGGAGCTATTGAAGGCAATGGTGGCTTCCTGGCCATTTTGCTACCTTCCTGTGGGGGCCCTGATGAAGACACCAGATGTGGAGTTGTTGCAAGCTGTTCTGGATGGTGTAGATATTCTGCAGACGAAGGTTTGTCCAAGGTAACCAAGACCAAAATAGATGAAAGGGGAGTTGTTGAGCCATAGGTAACATACATGTAAGGACAAGGAGAATGTGGTCAAAGTGGACAGAATTTTCTGGTGCCATCTACTTTAGGTCTGTGAAGCTTCTCTTCATATAGAGAGTTCATGCGATGACAGGAGTGGGGGAGAGCTCACAGTAGATAAAGCCACAGTGGGATGACCTTTCCCTGGTTCTCCTATAGACACTCATTGCTGAAGAGACACAAGTCTAGAGTAATTAAATGGAGGTAAGCAGGAAAGGTCTCTAAATGAAATTCAGGCAAAGAGTCCTTGCCTGGCAGGTGAGAGGGTATGTTGGAGCTGACAATAGAGTAGTTGGACAGAGGCTGTCACACAGGCCGTCCTGGTTTACATTATGAGACAGAGACAGAGAGAGACTCACACACAGAGGGAGAGAAACAGAGAGTGAGAAACAGAGAGAGAGACACACAGAGAGAGAGTAGTTACTTAGGAATGGGTCATGAAATTGAGTAGGAAAAGGAGGGGAAGAGAGTAATTGGAGAAAGGAGAATCTGGTTTGAAAATGATACCAGTACATATTCATAAAATCCTTAAAAGGTTCTTTAAAAAACTGGATGGGCCAACAGGATGACTCAATATGTACAGTCACATAAACGTGGCGAGGTGAGATTGATCTCTAGGAATCATACAGAGGAGAACACATCCCAGAATCAGAAATTATTTGATTCTTTCCCTCTCTCTCTCTCTCTCTCTCTCTCTCTCTCTCTCTCTCTCTCTCTCTCTCTCTCTCTCTCTCTCTCCCCTATTTTCTTCCTTCCTTCTGAAGAACACCTGTGCCAACAGTTGAAAAATTAGTAAGCTGTCCTGTCCTTGCTTTCCTTGGACACGAGCAACTACACCTAAACATCTTAACCTGGTGGTCCTCAAAGGACTTGATAATATTTGCCAGGCCTCAGTCCTCAAGGATTTGGGAACTTTCCTCAGACCTCAAGGAGCCAGGCTGGTCACAAAGCTCAGCCAGGGCACAGACGTTGTCTAAGACAGATAACCAGCCAGTTAGCCACAGGTGTGCGTGTTGGCATGAAGGTCTGACACCGATTACCAAACACCCCTTGTACCCTCACCACCTTGTTTGTGGTTTCTAGGTTTTAAAATTTCTGTAAATTCTGCTCAGAATTCAATGCTTCCCAAGGCTGCTGAACCCCGGCGCACTGACTTAATAAATATCCTCTTACATTTTTTTTTTTTTTGGTTTTTCGAGGCAGGGTTTCTCTGTGACTTTGGAGGCTGTCCTGGAACTAGCTCTTGTAGACCAGTCTGGCCTCGAACTCACAGAGATCCGCCTGCCTCTGCCTCCCAAGTGCTGGGATTAAAGGCGTGCGCCACCAACGCCCAGCAACATCCTCTTACATTTTGCAGCGAACTTTGGTTCCCTGGTGGTCTTTGGGTAGACAGGCCTGAGAGAAAGGTTAAAGGGTCTTTCACTTCCTGGCTGGCAGGCATTTTTTTCTTTTTTGGTGTTTTGAGATGTAACTGTGTCCTGGAACTCACTTTGTAGATGAGGCTGACATTGAACTCGGAGATTTGCCTGCCTCTGCCTCTCCAGTGGTGAGATAGAGGCCTGGATTAAACGTTTGTACAAACTTTCTTGGTTTCATTTGATTTCTAATTGAATCATTTTCCTGAGTTTCACAAGGAATGTTGATGTAACAATTGGTCCTTCCTTCCCTCTGTTCCTGCCTTCCTTTCATTGCTAGAGGCCATGGTGCTTTTCCCACTGGGATAGAAGCTACTCATAGGCAAGGGTGACATGAAACTCCTGATACTGCATCCCTCTCTCACTGACTGCAGAGGTGGCAGTCCTGCAAAAGTGCCCAGCAGATGTCATAGACACCAGTCTAAGCGCAGTGGTTCCCTGCTGTTGGGAAAGGAAATTTAAAAAGTGTAAGAAAAATTAATAGAAGACCCACAGACAGATACTTGGGTTCAAGATGCAAACTAAAGATCAGAGAAGTATAGCAGCCCAGCCACTAGCTCTTTTTTTTTTTTTTTGGTTTCTTTAAAGGGTTTCTCTGTGGCTTTGGAGGCTGTCCTGGAACTGGCTCTGTAGACCAGGCTGGCCTCGAACTCACAGAGATCCGCCTGCCTCTGCCTCCCGAGTGCTGGGATTAAAGGCGTGTGCCACCAACGCCCGGCCACTAGCTCTTTTTCTACCTATGGCTGAAGGTTGATCCTGTCTCCAAGATGTCTCCTCCACACCTCAGACTGCTGTCTCTCATCAAACTGGCTTGAGACTAAATCCACAACGGACACTCTTTGCTTTTGGTGTCTACTTAGTGCTGTGATTAAAGGAGCATGATCCCGAGTACTGAGATCACCTTTGCATGAGTTATTTCTCTTTCAGACTGATTCAAGCCATGGGTGGCTTCTACTCACAGTGAACCTTTGTAGCCTGAGTCCACAGATTAAAGGTGTGTGCCAACTCTGCCCAGCTTCTATGGCTAACTACTTTGACTGGCTTTAAATTTTGATTCTTCAGGCAATGTTTATTAAATCATTAATAATATATCAGCACATAATTTTTTTCAGTTAATTATAGGTGGGGGAGGCATTTGCCATGTTGTCCATGTGGAGTTCAGAGGAAACTTTCAGGAGTCTATTCTCCCGGGTTCCAACATCAAATTTGAGTCTTCATCTGAGCAAGTACCTTACCCATGGAGCCTTTTGGGATTGCTGGGTAAGGGATTTGTTCTAAAAGTCCATTTCAGAAAAAAGAAAAAAAGAGCATTTGAGGCACTTGGTTTCTACTGATATCTTCAAGCAAAGCACCCCTGTTCTGTCTCAAATTTGATGCTGTTGTTTGATATTTTCTCACTGTGTGGACAGGTTGACCTGAAACTCACAGAAATCCTCCTGCCTCAGGTTCTGGAATGCTAACACAAAGTAGAGTACGCTCGTCATGCAGGAGGACACAGGGGTATTAATAAAAATTAGTTTGATTTCCATCCCAGCATGCTTTGCTATTGATTTTCAGTTTGAGATAAAGTGTCCATTTTACTCTTGATGATTCTAAAGTACTTGCTATGGAGGACTCCCGGGTCCCTATGCCCATCTCATCTCTTTCTCATCTGCAACATATTCCTTTGGTGTGTTTTGTTTAGTGTTTGTTTTGTTGTTGTTGCTGTTGTTTTGAGACAAAAGCTAATTTTCTAGCCTTTGGCTACCCTAAAAATCACTACTTACTCAAATACCACACACAATAAAACACATACATAGACACCAAAATCACATACACAATAATATGTACATGTATATTATGTATTTATATAAACTTGTGCATAAAAATTGACATAAAAATAAGTCAATCTATACACAGATGGAACATTGACTTTTGAATTTAGTGTTTTTGTTTTCACAGGATTGGTCAGATTCACTCAGTCTGCTGTAGAATAAAATAAATCAATCATTAACTGGATTAAGTGGGTGGAGATATAGGATTTTTTGTAGAGGGGTGGGGCTTCCTGGGGAGGAGCCAGTAGGAAGCTTTATAAAAAGGTAAGATGGGACCTGGTAGAATCTCAGAGTCAAGGAGCCTGGAGTCACTGATTGACTGTGCTGAAGAGTCCTGAGCCTGGAGTTTCTGCTTGGCCTTGCTGGCAATAGGAGCTCTAAACCCGTGTCCATATCAGGTAAGTCACTCACCTCCATTGGAAGTCTAAGGACATAATGGTCTAGACTTTTACAAACTAAGCTACATTTCCAGATGATGGCTTTAAAATTCAAAGGATACATTTTAATAATTTTACATCTGGTGTAGATTTGTTTTAATGAAAAATGAACATTAATAGGAATTTGCATATTAGTTTCTTTGGTTCATTTGTGCTTTTGTAGACAGGGTCACAATAGGCAAGGATAATCTTGAACTCTAGAGTCATTGAGTTTGTACAGTTTTCTGGACTCATTATACAATTGGAGTTAATCTCCTCTTATAATTTAATATCCATTTAAAGTGTAAAACAAACTTTAAAACATTTGTAAATTTTCTTTACTTACTCACCTCCTTTCTTCCTCTAGACCCCAATGTATCATAGGAAAATCTTTGTCCTTGTAGCCTCTGTACACTTGGCTTCTCATCTAAGATTCTTATTTTAGAGTAGCATGTACTAACAGGCATTTCAGGAGTTCTCCTCACCCCTTCCTAAGAGGTATCAGTTTGGTGAAAGTACAATAAGGGTGGGTTGGGTGTGTAATGTCAGCAATGTATTTTCTTAAGCACCTGGAAAGATGGTCAGTGTCTTTTCCTGACACAAGGGTCTGGTCTGTATGTATGCTCCTGAATACTTCCAAATAGAGCAGGGAGAAATACCTGTTGGGAAAATGATTGATTTGTGTCCGTGTTGGGGCTTTAAGAGACTCCACAATGCCCGGTTTTGGTGGCACACACCTTTAATCCCAAAACTCAGGAGGAAGTTGCAGGAGGATCTCTGTATGTTTGAAGACAGCATGATCTACACAGCAAGTTCCAGGACAGCCTCCAAAACAATACAGAGAAACCCTGTCTCGAAAAACAAAAAAAAAAAATCACACACTCCACATGCTGAGATTGATGGAAGTTTGGCTTTAACACCAAGAGATGGTAGATAATGAGGCACACGGAATTCTCCCTTATTGCCCGACCTAGGATTCTGACCCTCTGCTTCCTTCAAATTATGATAAGTGCTTATTCCCAAAACATAAATAGAAAATAATGTCTCCCTAATGCTTCACCAGGTTCCTTCTAACTGAAGATTTATCAGAATGAGCGTCTACAACCCACCCACACTGCAAGAGCTGGCAGTGCAGAGCCTGCTGCAGAACGAGGCCTCAACCATCTCTGCTCTGGGGTACCTGCCCATTAATCTCTTCCCACCACTTTTCAAGGAAGCTTTCACTGGTAGACACATGGAGTTATTGAAGGCATTGCTGGCTGCCTGGCCATTTTCCTACCTTCCTGTGGGGGCCTTGATGAAGACACCAGATGTGGAGTTGTTGCAAGCTGTTCTGGATGGTGTAGATATTCTGCAGACACAGAAGGTTCGTCCCAGGTAAGCAAGGTCAAAGTATATAAAATCGGAGTTGCTGAGTAATAGGTAAGATAAATATAAGGGCAGGGAGAATGTAGTCATAGTGGACAGAGGCTTCTGGTGCCATTCACTTGTAGGTCTGTGGAACTCTACTCATGTTGAGAGATCATGCAATGACAGGAGTGGAGGAGAGCTCAGAGTCGATGAAGCCACATTGGAATGAGTTTTGCTGGCTCTCCTACAGACAATATAAGTTTTGGGGGTATTTTTGTTTTTTTGAAGGGGTTCATTTTCTTTTCTTTTTTTTATGGTTTGTTTTTTGAGACAGTGTTTCTCTGTGGTTTTGGAGGCTGTCCTGGAACTAGCTCTTGTATACCAGGCTGGTCTCAAACTCACAGAGATCAACCTGCCTCTTTTTCCCTAGTGCTAGGCTTAATGGCATGAGCCACCAAGGACCAGCTTTCCTACACTTTATGTTGAAGAGACACAAGTCTAGAGTAATTGAATGGAGGGAAGCAGGAAAGGACTCCACATGAAGTTCAGGCTAAGGGTCCTTGCCTGGCATGTGAGAGAAGTATGTTGGATCTGACAATAGAGAAGCTGGACAGAGGCTGTCACACATGGCATCCTGGTTTACATTATGAAATTGTACCTTTTTCCTAACAGATGTTGGAGGCTTCGAGTACTTGACTTGAGGAATATGAACCAGGATTTCTGGGATCTATGGGCTGGCAGAGATTGGTACTGCTCAACAGAGACTGAAAGTAATGCACAAAAATGCAATGAACTGAGGCAAGATTTGAAGCTGGTCACTGACCTTAGCCTCAGGTTCCACCTGAAAGAACACCAAACATGCTTGTTGCAGTGGGCCCAGAAGAGGAAAGACTGTGTGCGGCTGTGCTGTGTGAAGATGACGATTTGTGACTTTCCTGGAGAGATTGTCAAGGAGGTCTTGCACATTTTCCCGCCAGAAAATATTGAGGATTTGGAAATATACATAAACCAGGTGCTGCCCTTCCTGGGTCACATTGCACCTCAACTTGGCCATATGACAAGACTTCGCAAATGCCGTCTAATTCACATCTTCTTGAACTCAAACATGGTTGTCAATAATTTGGAAGACACAGAGGAGATGTGTGCTGCCCAGTTTCTCTCTCCGTTCTGCAAACTCAACTCTCTCAAGCATCTAACTGTGGATGACATCTCCTTTTCCTCTGACAACATGGGGCTGCTGTTTGGGTAAGCAATGATAGAGAGCTGTTTCTACTGTGACAGGAAACCTTTTCCTTTATTTCAAGCATTAGTGGTCTCTGAGGGTATCCCTGCCACCGTGGATTTAACAGTGATGGACTTATCACACTATCTATGTGGACTCGTATCCTGCTTTACTGATGTTACATGGTTCAATGACCATTCATTTATCAGTCAGAACTGGGCTAGCAGATGCTTAGAGAGCTGAATTGAAGTTAGGTCCTTTGGGTGGGTCAGACACACAGAAAGTGCTCTGGATATTCCTTCTTGACATCCTGGCTATGCTGATGGGAAGGGAACAGGGCAAGGTAGCAAGTCCTGAGCTGGGGAGTATCACACCTGCATAGGAACCTAGGGAAGTCTTTACTTAGATCTGTGAAAAGGGGCCTTGTTCTTCTGGTGGAGCCTGTCTCAGCCTCTATGTCCCCCTGGAGGGAAGGATAATGTGAGCATAGATTGGGACTTAGCATATGGAAAATGGTTGATGCTGGAGTGAGGGACTCTCAGTTTTAAGTGTTGAGCACTGTAATCAAGAATACAGGCTGTGACTGGTGGGAAGGACCACAAGTGGAGCTATGCAGGACACATGCCAAGATGCTGCCAGAATCTTTCTGTGATGGTCCTCTGGGAATGAGCTCATGACATGCTGTGGCAAACTCTAGTTCTGTTTGACAGAATGAGCATGGGGAGTTGAGGATGTGTACTCTGAGACCATCCCAGCTTAAGTATATGCTTTCGGCGACAAATATATGAGCAGGCACCAGCAGGTTGTATTCCAAGTGCAGACCTTCAGCATTGGGCTAGACTGAATTTGCGTATTTCCTCCCTTCTGTCTCAGTGTCAATCCTTTTAGTGCCATCTACCACCATGCACTAATTTCTTTTTCTTTCTCTAGATGCCTGAAGACCCCATTGGAGTCCTTGACTATCAGTCTCTGCCATCTCTCCCAGTCAGACTTGAAACACTTGTCTCAGTGTCAGAGGCTCTGTCAACTGAATCACCTGAACCTCAGGGGTATAGTGTTGCCCAGGTTGAGTGTCACACATCTCCGAGTTCTCCTTGAGAATACAGCAGAGACTTTGAAGACCCTGGAGTTAGTGAACTGCAGGATGGAGGACTATGAGATCAGTGCCCTCTGGCCTGCCCTGAGCCAGTGCTCACAGCTCACCACTGTGAATTTCTATGACAACGACTTCTCCACTGCTGTTCTGAAGAAGCTTGTGCAAAGCATGGCCAATCTAAGAAAAATGACTGCAGAGTTCTACCCCGCCCCTCTAGAGTGCTATGACCCCCTGGGTTCTGTTCTTGTGGAGGAATTTGCCGAAGTATGTTCTGAACTCCTGGATATACTCTCTTCCAAAAGGCAGCCCAAGACTACAGCTTTTGCTACAGTCATCTGCCTTGAATGCTGCAGGCGCTGTGTTTATGACATGGAGGCCAAACTTTGTCAGTGTTGGCAATAAATAGGAAAAGATTGCTTCTGGATACTGAGAAATGAAAGTCTAATGTTTGGATTTGCATCATGGAGTCCCAGAAAACATGACTTCATATACTGTGTCATGTATTGGAAACAAAATATTGTTCAGGGTATGCACACCATAGACATAAGCTTGACTTGAAGTATAATGGCAGCACAGTGATACTGGTCTTGTCCAATCAGAAAGGCAACTTAGCATTTCTACCTCTGTCTCTCTCAAAACAGGATCACCACTGTCTTGCCCATATGTGACAGTTTTAAACATATGGTCAGACTAGGAATCTGGATGTTCTTCCCTTGTGTCCTGAGTCATTAATCTCAGCTTTAGGTCATAGTCAAGGTGTTCTGTGACCACATGAATATGCTCAAAGACTTATCGTCCACGGCTTGCCAGCAACAAAATGAACTGAGGTCATTTATGGGATTGTCTTTCCCCTCTTAACTTCCCACTGTATGGCTATTTAGTGGATTGTTTGTATAGACTTATGAAACTGAATGCAGCAGAGTAGCCCTGATCTGCATTGAAGATGGTGTTGGTGAAACACAAAAGATTTCATCCCATGATTTTCAGATAGGAGTAGCTGGGCACCCCTTGACCATTAACCTAGCCTAGAAACCTGACTGACCTGAGACCCGGCTGTTAACTGTTTGGTTTTAAGTTCTGTCTTTATTTGCTAAGAGAGTAGCCAAGACAGCTATTTCATTGTATCAGGTAGCATTAAGATAATTTTTATTCCTCTGTATTTCCATTGGTCTTCATTAATAAACCAAATCCCCCTTTTCACACATGTCATTGTGATGCCTGCTAACTTCATACACCGTATTAACTGTGAAGCATACTGGCTTATCACACTTTGCACAGAACTGTCCTTGGGGACTGATATGACTATCATCAGATGGCATTTCAACACAAGACCCTGATTCCTAACACCTAGAAAAGTGTGGAGGTACAAAGTATTTATTGTTCCACATGTGCTCCAAGGGTTGTCAGTCACAGGCTGGGAGCCTAAAGTGACTATGAGGAATCTTTTTGCTCTTTTAAATGTTTCATATTTTACCTTTGATGCTGGAGTCCCACAACACATCTTAGTCACAGCAAATAGAACACATCAGGTATTCATGTAGTGAGGGTCTGAACCCTTTTCAAGTAAATTCATCCACAGAAAGAAGAAGACACTGCAGCCAGGTTCTTTGAGATGAGGCTCACTTGGTATTCTTAGTCTCCATCTCAGCCAGTGTTCTTCTAGATTGGAGCCTTGAATCAGTTCTGAATGTATAACTCTGAGTAAACTGCAACAGAAGCATTTTGAGCTGCTGGATCACCTGGGCCATTCGTTTCCATAGGTGTCTGGTCATTATTGCCATAAAATATATAAAGGTTTAAAGGAAGCATACATATGTTTATCAGTATAAGTATAAACTTGGTATTGTATACAAGATGGCCAAAGATGATTTTTTGTTTATTTTGAACAGATAAAGTGTACATTATGTATTTCATAGTTTTGTGGGGGGTGTTGTTTGTTTTTGTAGCTCTATTTATATCTGTAGTGAGGATCCTTAACTATCTTCAGACAAACCGGGTTAGTCAGGCCCAAAGCTGAATGGAAGATATCCATGGCCATGCCTGATGACGTTTGTCTCAGGCACGGGCTGTTGACACAGAGACCAGGATGGAACCTGATGGCCTAGGCTGGTTGGGAGACATCCTTCTGTCTATTCAATGCCATTTGGCTCTGGTGGCTGCTACTTGCTCATAGGCCAGACTGGGTCCTTAAGTTCTGTTCTTCTAGAATGATGTTCAATAAACAGCTAGATGACTTTTGGCTCACTTGTGTGGTAACCATCAGAAGACAGGCTGGAAGGTCAATTCTCAGACTCTTGGGAAGATATCTATGCCCCACTCGATGCCATTCTGTTATGGAGGGGGGAAACCACACATGGGCAACTTGTGTCATCAAGTCCTTGGCAGGTGGGAAGACATCCATAGCCCATCCTGATGCCATTTGACTCAGTTGGATGCAGGCTACTAACAGTACAGACTGGGTCCTCAAGTGTAGGGCTGTGGGGAATACATCTATGGGCCCTGGAATGACCTCCGCCTCAGGTGGGTAGAAGCCAATCCCAACAGACAGTGTCCTCAAAGCCTGAGCTGGAAGGAAGGTGTTGATGTCAGAAGCAGATGGGAGAGCAGTTTCCATTATCAGTCATGTGACACAAAGGGGAAAAGAGAGATTTCCCCATCTTCCCCATCAAGGCCAGAGGCACAGAGATCATAAGACTTGGAGAGCTGTCTGTAGCTCTCTCTAGCTGCAGCATTGGGGAGAGTGATCGCCATTCCTTGCCTGGGCAGCACAGAAGAATGGACCATGAAGCTGTACATGTGGGAGAAATGCCCCTTAGGATATAAAACCCAGAAAACTGGCCCTGCCCCTTGCTCATCCCTACAAGAGGTGTGAACTAGTTAGAGCAATGCAGGTAAGCTCACCCTGGTGAAAAACACAGGTGAGAGCTGGCTTTCTGACAAACCCTGCAACTGCCTAGGCCAAGAACCAGGGGAACTTGATGGCCCACCTTCCATCCACCACTTTTATGGTGTGCTGAGCACAGCAGGGTTAGCATAGTGCTGCAGCACCTCCACAAGCAAATGGAAATTCATGAAGTGTTCCATTGAGGACACATCATCCACAGTGTAGTTGATACCATGGGCATACACCCAAACCAATGATTCTTTCAGGAATGCCTGCATGTAAAGATGCATGGATATAGGGGTTTACTGTGAGTCTCAGTGTGTCACACTGCAGCTTCCATGACAAAATTTTCCCTTCCTCCAAGTTTTTCTTTTTCTTAATTATCTTAAATTTTACTTTGTTTTATTCTGGGGAGATGCAGGGGTGGGGGAGTGTTTCCAGGGAATGGGTGGTGGGTAGGATATGGACGCATCAAGACAAAAGGAATAAATTAAAAAAGAAAGTTGCTTGGCAGTGGTGTCACAAGCCTTTAATCCCAGCACTAGGGAGGTAGAGGCAGGTAGGTATCTTTGAGGTTGAGGCCAGCTTGGACTACAGAGTGAGTTCCAAGACAGTAATGGCTACACAGAGAAAGCCTGTCATGAAAATTAAAAATAAAATACCTTTAAAAAAGAGAAAGAAAGTTATAAAGACAAACTTCTGCCCATACAATTTTAATGTGCATTCCTTCTAATGTCACTGGAGGTATCAGGACATCAGCAACATGACCATACTCTCTATGCATCTGTTAAATCAAGAATTGTATCAAATGGTGTGGCTACAGGGCTACAAGACTTCTCAATGATCTGGTTGAAGGGCTGAGGATTAAAATGAAGACAAATACAGAGGCTCAACCTTCAAAGGCAAATAGCATTTATTGTTACAAGATCAGAACATTATATATCAGTAGCAGGCATGGTGATAAACTGTCAACGTCAAGAGCTCAAGTTTCCAGTGCTCTCTGGTAAAACATAGGAGCATATCAGGAATTAGCATTTAGACTTAACTGGAAGGACAGGACAAAGGGTGTTTTGCTAGAAGCTCCTGGTCACAAGCTAGTTAGCAGGCCACCATGGGGGAAGGGTGCAACTAAGAATAGAAAGATGACATGAGGCAGGGTGATGGTGGTAAACACTTTTAATCCTTGCACTAGGGAGGCAGAGGCAGATGGGTCTCTGTGATTTCAAGCCCAACATATTCTACAGAGTGTATTCTTGGGCAGCCAGGACTACAGAGAAATTCTGTTTCCAAAAAAAAAATATCGCTCTTGGATCCCCTGGCCTGAGGACCAGAGCCAGGTTGACTGTCCCCCGGATGGACAAACAAGCAACCAGGAGCCAACAGAGAGAGGTGCTTTACTTCTTCCCACACTCAGGGCAGAAGACTGAAATGACCTCTGGGTCTCCATTTTAGACCCAAGTTCCCTCTCTCACCCTCTCAGATCCCCTGGCATGGGGTCTGCTGCAAGGTCGGACTAGGTCACACTAGGAACATGTATATTCTTCCCTGGTGTCCTCTGTCATTGATATCAGCTTTAGGTTATAGTCAATGTATCTTGAGACCACATGAGTTCAATCAAGGACATTATGGTTCAAGGTTTGCCAGCATCAAAATTAACTGAAGTCCTTTATTGCATGGCCTTCCCGTCTTAATGTCCAAGAGTATGGCTGCTCAGTGAATATTGTGTACAGACTTATGACACTGAACGCAGCAGTGTAGCCCTGATCTCCTTTGAAGGTAGTTTTGGAGAAATAGGGGTTACATCCTAGGATACTCACATAGGAGTTGCTACACACACCTGAACATGACTGAAACCAAAGTCCTTACCTGGAGACCTTACTGACCTGAGACCTAGTTGTTAACTCTTTGGATGTAAGCTCTGTCTTTATTTGCTAAGAGAATAGCCAAGTCTGCTATTTCATTGTATCAACTAGCAATAAGATACTATTTGTTATATTGTATTTCCTTTGGTCTTTTTTAATAAACCAAGTCTTCCTGTTCTATCATGTCATTTTGATGCCTGCTAAATGCATATACGGTACTAACTGTGAATGACACTTGATTATCACAATTTGAACACAACCATATATCTTTAACCATATATCAAATAACTAGCCCTTAGTTTCTCACTAGGTTCATGAAGACCCCCTTGGTTGTCTGTCCATCACTTTCTGCTGGTTCTCAGTCAGACTTGGAGTCCCTCTCCCAATGTTGGAGCTTCTGTCAGCTCCATCTCACCTTCACTGATGCCCTTAAAATTGATTTGAATCCCACGCCTCTCAGTTTCCTTCTACGGCATAACGAAGATGCTCTACAGATCCTAGAATTAGAGTGTTGTAGGATGGATGAGTCTCATTTTAGTTTCCTTCTGCCTGCCCTGAGCCAATATTCCCAGCTTACCATGGTCAGTTTGTGTGACCATGACATCTCCATGGTAGTCAAGAATTTGAACCCACCTGGGAAGGACAGAAGAATCTAG